TGTATATATTTTATATGCGTTTAAATATATTTAATATTTTAATCATTGATTTTCTGTGGGGTGTTTATTTATTAGTGCATTGATTTATTTGTTTATTTTATATTTTAAATAGCTATAAATATATGTGATAAATCCTACTCTCCCAATATATTATTTGGCTACCTTACTGAGTCGAATTCCAATTAGATCAAGGTATAATATAATATAAATACTTATGTATAATTGATAATATAGGTAAGATATATGTATATGTCTCTGTACATGTCTCTTTCTCTTTTTCCCTGTTCCTTAAGTATCTAATCAAACATTATATGCTTGAAAAATATTTAAGGGTATAACAAAAATTAAAATAAAATAATAATAATAATAATAAAACATAGATCCATTATTCAGCAGAAAGTGTAAGGTATCATCAACATTATCATATATACTTTAAAATATTCTAGCACAAATTCATTTCTAGATTTTGCATATTTTATCCATTCAGTCTATAAATAATGCGCCTGTTTCATACAGACTGCATTCAGTCAGGCCCGGTTCGCCCGATTAACTCCTAAACAATTGGAGTGACCCGCGCGCTGTGCACTGACCAAATGCAATGAACTGCGCCAGCAGCGAAAAAATTTGACACAGAAATAAAGAAAGCAAAAACGTCAATAATAAAGCAGACAAAACAGACGCAACAAAAATGCGAAACAAAATGTGAGCCGCCATTTGCAATAGCCGAGCGATTTCTTGCACAATTTCCTCGACACACAGTGTGAATAAAAATGTAAGCTTCAGTTGCAGCCGAAACCAAATGCGAGCACAACAGAGTCGCAGAGTCGCTGCCCACTGTCAGTGCTGCTGCCACTCCTCCCGCCCCGCAGTCCAATCAGGCAACAACAAACAAAAGCTGCAAGCTGCAGACATTGCAATTTTCACGAGCATTTGACCGGCTCTCTATATACAGCCGAACACACACACACACACACACTTACACACACATGTATATGGTTGTGTGCGTGTGATATATAGGTAGGCCATGGGACTGGGCAGCCGTCGCAGCTGACAGTCGCATGGCGAATGGCCAAACGAAAACAAAAAAGCGTGCAAAACAACAGCGAAACACAAAAACCAAAACAAAAATGTGTAAAAAATAACGGAGCCAAAGTGTGGAGCGAGTGCAGAGCAGAGCGCATAAAAATGGAACAAAACACAGCGCCAACTGGCGGCAGAATTCTCAACTAAAGAGTGTGAGCAGGCTGGCAGGCAGGCAGAGGCAGGCCTGGCCTGGCCTGTCAGACCCTTCCTCCCCCTCCGTCGCTCCGTGGGCCCATCAAATGCGACGGGCAGCAACGACATCAATGGGCGCGCCACTCAATCAACCCCACGCAGCCTGCAAATTGTGTGTGTGCCGCTGGGTGGCTGCTGCTCCTGCTCCTGCTCCTGCTGCTGCTGCTGCTTGACAACAATGAAGGCCAAGTATTGTCCAGGCCAGGCAGCGTGTCCCAACCCCAGGCGCAAACCCAATTTCTTCCTTTTTTTTTTTCGTTCGCTTCCTACTATTTTTGCCGGGCATTTTTTTATGCGCCGCATCATTTAATTTTTTTCTCTTTTCACTTCTTTTTTTCGTATTCTTTCTTGCTGTTTACCTTTCTCTCTCTCTCTTGCTCTTTCTCACTCTGCTTGGCCTGAGCGCCGCGTTTGCCTGCTACAACTTTCTGACTGCTTGGTCGCTGGTCAGCCGCAGTTATTCTTGGGCCCCTCTCGATGCTCGATGCTCGACGCTGGTCAAACAAATGCTATTATCTCCACACACCCCACGCTGCCCACTCCCCAGCTAGCCCCCTGCACCCAAGCCCCTGCATTGGCAACGCCCTCGTGCGTTTCATATGCCAAACTTTTGCTTGATTTTCACTTTTGGCGGCACATTTCTTTTTTGCGGCCCAAAATAAAAGTAAAAGTTACACGCTCTCTCTCTCTCTCTCCCTCTCTCTCTCTCTCGATTGCTGCTTTGAGTGGTCAGTTGTGCTGCCTCCACAGTCCACTCGCCTCTCACATTTCGGGCGTCTGTCGCGGCATTTATTGCCACGTTGCAGCCCCCTGGGGCATCGCTACGTTTGACTCAGCTGCTCATTTACATCAAATTTTTAATTGGAATTGGTGCCAGAGCGAGGATACGTACGTATAGGAAAAAACAAAAGTGGAGAGCTCAGAGTGCGCATAAAAGACAATAAGCCAGCAGAGGCTTAGAAATATTGATTGGCTCTCGGTGAGTGCCTCTTGCAAAAGCCTTTGATTGCTTAGCTCATATTGCGTATACGCAGCGTGTCAGCCGTTGCTCTTTGAAACTATCCCATACTTAAGTCGACTATTGCTGATATCATTCTTTGTTGTAAACTCTCAGAATTCATTAATAAATGAAAATTCTTGTTTTTTTTTTTTTTTCTTTGTTTGTCAAGCTAAAGTATTAATAATATTTACATAATATCAAATATAAGATGAATTATCTTTGTTGTCGCCTTTAAGAATTTATTAAACAAGTGAAAATTCTTGCCTCTTCTTACGCAATAAACTTTATAAATAATACTTCCCAATTACATTTCAGAAATTAATAAAAAAAACTGTAAATTATTAAAAGTTTTATAATTTAAAATAAA